AGAGGAGAATGGAGGAGAAGGGATTGCGGCGTGACCAACCCCCTGGGGGGTGATTTCTCGCTTTCTGTCTCTATGTCTCTCTCTGTCTGTCTGGCGAGCGCACGCGCCCTACAGTGAAAATCTCTCCAAAAAAAAAGGTCACCCCTCCACCCAAGCACCCCTAGGACCTCTCCCTGTCCCGCCCCTCCGTCGTCACCCCTCACCCTGCCAGGGCCTCTGAGCTAGTCTGATACACTCCTGCCCTTTTCATGACCATCAAGGGTCCCGTGGGCCTGGCACCTGGATACCATAGGCACCAGAGGGTACAGAGGGGCTGAAGCTGAACTCTCTGCACCGGGGGGCCCTGGGGGAGGGACAGGAGGGACCTGAGGTCCCCTCTGCCCTGGGCCCAAGTAGCTGCTTTTCTCAAATTCTCAACAGTGGTCCGCCCACAGGATCTGAGTGGGCCGTGCCAGGAGTCACCACCACCAATGGCAGGGCACCTCTTCCACTCTGTCCTCCACATGGTGGCACTGCCCTCTGAGCTGCAGCCACCTGGGACACTGGTACTTGAGTCCCCTCACACCCTGGGCAGCTGTTGAGCTGGGACTCTGTGGGAGCGCCACAGGGTGCCAGCTAGGCCCAGGCAGCCCACCCTGCAGCCCTGCCTGCCCCCAGGTCCCGGCCAGCCACGCAAGACCACTGCTGGGCCTGGGCCGCTGTCAGCCACCTCTTCCCACCAGCATCACAAGGACCTAGTCCTGCCTAACTTAGCTCAGAGGCCTGTGTGCCTTGTACTCCCACACCCCACCAGGGGCAGCCCGGCCCTCACCGGCAGCACCCACCCTTGCAGCAGGAGCTCTGGGAAGGGCCCCACAGGACCTGCATAAAAGGCTCAGATGAAGAGCGCTGCACCTGGGGACGCCTGCTTGGGCAGGTGTGAGGACGGTACCCAGCCCTGGGGTTCTGGTCCCCCTGCGGTGAGAGAAGCCATGGCTCTGGCAGCTGTCCTGGCTGCAGAAAGGCTGGGCAGCCACGCCAGATCACTGCTCAGTGCCAGCCTGTCTCCAACGGCTTCCTCCCTGGGGCCACACCCCTGCTCCCATCCTTCGTCCCAGGGGCCCTGACCGCTCTGCCCCTTCCAAAGTCTGCAAAATGGTCTCTAGGAGTTCAACCTCTTCCCTCCAGACAAGGTCTGCTGGTCTCTGCCCCCGACTGTTACCCCCTCCTCCAGGACGGGCAGGACAGAGACTGGGTACCTGTGGGTGGGGCACAGGGCCAGCCAGGGGGTCTAGGCCTCTTGGCCTCAGCCCCACATTCTGTGGGATGTGGACAACTCCTGCCCTACGTCAATGGGAGCCCCAAGCCTGGATGGCCCCACACCAGAAGACACACTTGAGAATGGCCCTGCTGGGGTGTGGGCTTCAGAAATGAGAACCTTTCCAACACACTCACTTCTAAACCGGTTTAATTGTGCACTCCCCGTAACAGACTGCAGCTTTGCCGGGTGGCTCTAAGGCATGAACGTGGAGCGGAGGGCAGGCGAGTGGAGAGCAGGCGGGGTCCCCCCACCTCTGGGGCTCCGGGTGGGTCCCCGAAGGTTATGGAAGGCAGTTCAGTTTCCAGCTGCTGGCCATACCCTGGCTGGGACCAAGCAGGGGTCCCCACCTCGGGAGTTGAGGACATTGGCCAGAGCCTCAGGCTAGGCCAAGCCAGGCCTCAGTCTCCCCAGCTGTAAGATGGGATCAGACCCAGAGTGCCCTCAGGAGGCCAAGCTGCCAGGACAGCCCTCAGCAAGGCCAGTGTGGCCAGGAGCCGACGGGGCCTGTGTAAGGCAGAGCCCTATGAGGGTCAGCCTGCCAGTGCCTGTTCAGTGCCATCTGGCCACAAGTCCCAACTGCCTGCCCTGCCTGCATGGAGAAGGGGGCAGAGGCTGGCTGTACCCGGGAGCTCGGTGACCCTGCCCTGTGCCCCTGGCCCTGCCCCACCCAAAGCCCAAGGGAGCTGCTTCAGAAGCACTGCTGTGACCTTCAGTCTGGGAGGCCCCCCTAACAGGCTCAGGACTATCCTGGCCTGGCCCAGTCTCGCCCTCAGGGCAACTGGGGCCAATTCCCTGCCTGGCTGTTCCTGAGGTCCCTGTGCTCTGGCACTGTCCTGCCTGACACACAGAGGCAAGGCCTTATCGCAGGGCCAGGCCCACCTGCCCATCCATCTCCATCCCGGGGCATTGCAGGGGTCAGGGCTCCAGCATCACCAGCCCTGGCCCAAACAGCAGAGCATCAGTGACAGGGGGTCAGACAGGCAGAGGGGGCTGGGCAGGTCACGGGGCCTCCCCAGCTTGGAGAGCCCACCCGACCTGCCTGCAGGACGGGCCGGCTGACAGGCTGAGGTGGAGAGCAGGGGTGGGTGGGCAGGCTGCAGTCACTGGTCCTTGGTGCCATCGTGGAGCCCACTCTCAGCACGGAGCAGCTGGCTGCTGGCCTCATTGTAGGCGATCCAGTGCCGCAGGTCTTCTGGCAGCTCGGGGGGCTCCACCTGCAGGGGGACAGGAGGCTGAGGCTCCCAGGCACCTCTGCACTGGGGCCAGGGAGGGACACCCAGCCAGGTTGCTGCCTTCACACCTCGAGGCCTCTGCTTTGGCTGTTCCTTCCACCTGGACATGTGCCCCGGCCCGTGACCTCCCGGGAACCCTCCCCACCTTGAACTTCAGCCCTCCACATTCCCAGAACCAGGTAAATGCCCCTGTGACTGGCCAGGAGGGAGATGATGAGAGACCCAGAGGCGGAGGACAGTCCCAGGAGTGGCTCTCCCAGGAAGTGCAGGGTGGCTGTGCACGGGTCGTTCTATTTCCTGCAGCTCCAAGAAGCCTGGACCTGACCTCCCAGGTCAGCTCAGGGCCTCTGGCTCTGCTGCACCCCACCTCCTCTGCAGTTACCTCATGTAGCAGCAAGCCCAGGCGGGCCTGGTCTAGACCCCTTACTCAGCCTGCCCCTAACCACACCTGCAACTCTGCCTGGGAGCCTCTATGCCTCCCAACCCTCAGCCTTGCTGGCCATCCTTGGGTGTCCTTGGCAACACCTTGCTGTGCCAGGGCCTGGCCCCACCTCTTCCACTGGCCTGTGCCCGACCTCATGGTGCCCTCCCAAAGAGAGCTGCCCTAGCTACCTCTCCTCCAGGTCCTGCCCTCTGCCCTTCCATTTAGAGCTTCAATGGCCACCACCTGCTGGGCAGCATCTGCTGGACAGGGTAGAGAGGTACAAGCCCTTTGGGGGTTCCTGATCCAAAAGACAAAAGCTGGGGGCTGTGCCCGGGGCCTGCTGTACAAGCCAACAGCTGCCATCTCCTCTCTGAGCCTCAGCCTCCCCATCTGGTACTGCCTCTCATGACCGCTGTGAGACCATGGCTCTCCTCTCTCAGGAGGGCCTGCCTGAGTCCAGAGATGACAGCGCCCTGACTCAGGGCAGTCCAGGGGTAGGAGAGGCCCTAGCTGGCATGGAGGCTCTAGGCAACTTTCCAGGAACCGGCTTGTGGCACTGGCCTGCCCTGGTAACCAGTGTCAACCTGGCTCTCGGTTGCCATGCTGCAGGAGGTGGCTCTGCCTGCTGGGAGCAGGCCCTGGAGAGGGCTCAGGGTCCCAGAGGTGAGAGGCCTCCTCTCTGCAGCCAGAGAACAGGCAGAGGCTCACCTGGCTCTGTCCTCCACCCCCAAATCCCGGTGGCAGGAACCTGTCCTCAGCTGAGCTGTGTGCAGGGTGGTCTCAGGTGTGCATGATGCCCCTAGCCTCCTCTAACGGCCCTCCATCCTTCATCACAGTCAAGGACAGATGTGGGCTCCGCCCACGGCCAACACCACAGCTCAGGATGGGGCTCTTGGGAGGGAGCTGCCTGGGCTTCCCTACTTTGGGGGCAAGTGAGCTGAGCCCAGACAGGCAGGTCAAATAATGGCAGCGGAGCTGGACCTCACTATGGTGAGTCGATTCAGAGACCCCCCCGCCCCAAGAAGGGCATCAGTGAGGGAGGGCCTGGGTTCATGGGAATGAGCTGGGACGACGTGAGATGGAGCAGGGACCCTCCCCAGGGGAGGGGCCGGGACCGCTCACCCTGCGCTTGCACAGGTGCTGCACTACGCGCTCGGGCGAGGAGCCCAGCACGTGCTGCCGGGAGCGCAGCAGCGCGCACACGAAGCCGTCTCGCAGGCTGACGAAGCGCGCCTCCAGGTAGAAGGCGCGGTTGTCCCAGCCAAGCAGGCGGGTGCGCACTTCGAAGGGCTCGAATAGGCGCAACGAACGGCGGTAGCGCGCGCACGAGGCGGCGAGCACGGCGTGCGCGCCCAGCTCGCGCAGCGCCCCCAACACTCCGCAGCGAGTCAAGTGCGCGGCGCGCGCCACGTCGGCCTCGCGCAGGTAGCGCGCGTTGTTCATGTGCAGCAGCAGGTCCAGGTCCGAGGGCAGGACGCGGCCCGCCAGGCACTGCTCGGCGAGGAGATCGCGGACGCGCGGCTGCAGCAAGCGCGCGCGCAGCACAGCACACGGCACGCGCACCAGGTACCAGCCGTCCAGCAGCGCGAAGAATGCCAGCGCCAGGGCCAGGAAT